GGAAGGAAGGAAGGAAGGAAGGAAGGAAGCAGATTTGCAATTGATATCCTATGAAAGTATAAAATATACTTTTATAAAATATCTTCAGTAGTTTTAACCACTGTTTTGCATTTTTTATTTCAAAGTTGGTTTTGATGGGGCTAAAGAGAGTTCAGTGGGTAAGAAGGCTGGTATGAAAGCAAGAGAACCTGAGTTTGAATCTCCAGGACCTACATAAAGCCTGAGCACCTACAAATTCCTGCACCTCCCCGTAGGGGACAGGCAGATGGATACTGGGGGCTCACTGGTCAGCCAGCCTAGGCAAAATGCTAAGTTTCAGGTTAAGTGTGAAACTGTCTCAAGAAACAAGGTGGAAGGCCTAGAGAGACAGCAGCCAAGAGCACTGGCTGCTTTACCAGAGGACCCAGATTTAATTCTCAGCCCCCAAATCATGGCTCACAGCTGTCTTGTCACTCCAGTTCCACTTGATTCAACACCCTCTCCTAGTCTCCTGGGGTACCAGGCACACACGAGGTGCGCAGGCATGCATGTGGGCAAAACACCCATACATACCAAATAAAATGATTTTGGAGACAGACATCCAATAGGAAAAGACATGGACATCCTCCTCTGTACTCTGTATATACATCACAGGCACGCGCTCTACATATACATGAACACATACAACACACACACATCCTGTCATTTTTTAAATATTATTCAAATAGAAAACAAATATTGCAGGTGATTCCATACAAGAAAGAAGTATTATTTCAGAGCTGAAGTCCACCCAGCCCGGGTGACTTAATAGGAAACCAAAATGCACCCAACACACACAGCAGATAGACTGGGAGATGCCACGTATGCCTTCCTCTCTTCCTGCCCTGGTCTTATGTGCATTCCAGTTTCTGTCCTTGATGGCAATTTGTAAGAAGAGAGGGACAAACTTCTGAAATGAATCCGTTCAACATGCGATTTTACTGCAGTCCAGTGAGCTTCTGAGTATCCATTATCAGTCCAGTACTACACACATGCAGTGAGTTATAGCAGACACTGATTAAAGACATCCAAGACCTACCTCTGGTTACAGCCATTACCCCTAAATCTCCAGCAGTTACTTCTTCCTTTGATCTCCAACTTCTTCCTTTCCCAATGAACCGATCCCATCCTCAGATAAAGCCCCCAAATAAATGATTGTATAGATTACGCACTACATAGTTCTAGATCCTTGGTTCTCAACCTTCCTAACACTGCAACCCTTTCATACAGTTCCTTGTGTTGCGGTGACCCCCCCCCCACCATAAAATTATTTTCATTGCTACTTCATAACTGTAATTTTGCTATTGATATGAGTCGCAATGCAAATAGCTGATGTTTCCAGTCACAATCCCACAAAAGAGCCACTGGACGACCAGAGGGGTCGGGACCCATAGGCTGAGAACCACTGTTTTAGGCGGTACCCTTCACCTTAGTGTCTAAGTTTCAAAGTAACTTTTCAAGAGCTCCAGCTCAGCACTCTGAAACTCCCTTGTGGATCTTGCCCTGGCGCAGCAGCCTAGTTCTGACAAGTGAGCTGAAGACCATTTCATCATAGTTCTAACTTCTAGCCACAAACCCTCCTGTTGATAAACTTCCAATGCTCTAGATCCCTTTAGGAGAGAGACCCCTGCTCTGTATTCCATGGATTGAAGTTCAGATTGTGTTTGGAGGAGTGCTGGCCACTGAAGCCAGGACTTTCCACAAATAAGGTAAGTGCTAAATCACGCAGCTGCATCCCATCTCCGAACTCTCATCTTGAATGCTTGCTTGGAACTTAGAAACATCTACCTACTGCCAAGGCTGCCTCAGTACCATCTCCGCCCATCTGATGCCTGAATACTATCTGGATCTGGACACCATGAGCCATTATCCACCATACCCAGTCACCATAAGCTAGACAAAGGCAGACTTTTACGGTGGTGGCTATATTCACTACGGTGCATCCTCTACACAATGGTTCTTAACCTGTGGGTCGTGACCCCTTTGGAGGTCACGTATCAGATATCCTGCATATCAGATATTTATGTTAGAATTCAGAACAGTAGCAAAATTACACTTATGAAGTAGTAACAGAATAATGCTCTGGCTTGGGGCCGCCACAACATGAAGAACCGTATCAAAGGGTTGCAGCATTAGGAAGGTTGAGGCCCACTGTTCTACAGCTTAGGTTCTGGGTCCAGCCGTTCTGAACACAAGCAAGTCGTGCTTGAGTACCAAGTACCTGTCAACTGGCTCCATAACTTACTGGGTTTATGATCCTGAATGGACCATTTACCCTGAAGCTTCTGTCTCCTCGTGGATAGACTGGACACCAGGCACGGATTATGGAGCGCTATGTGATACACCACCAGCTAGCTACTCCTCACCAGTGTCTCAGAGATGTTTCAGCAACAACAGCTGCTTTTCCTGAATCGCAAAGAGTGCTACAGTGTGAGAGCTCAGGGTGCACGTGGAACCTAAGCCCAAACATCTAACACCTGAGCCATCAGAATCCAGCCACAGAGCTCTTTTCTCTGCCTTGCCCTGTTTGCTGGTCTCACTCTCCAAGATCCTGAGGATGGACAGAAGGTTCATGCAGATATACTATACATAAGTGAGGACACAAGTCAGAGAATGTCACTTGAGTTCAGTGGACACAAACCTCTAGACCTAAAGAACAAACTGGGAGCAACAGAGTTCTCCCACCTTCCCTAGGAAGTGTGGTTATTTTTATTTAACACAAGTGACTGACATAGGAAACCATGAGTCCTGTTTATTTAGAGGCAGGTATTTTGCAGACTTTATATCAAAAAATGAGCCAGTGACGCCAAGGGAGTATCATCATTTCCTTTTGCCAACAACCAATACTGAGCTCCTGAAGCAAAACAGAATTTCACAAAACTCACCTCTCACTGCATGAGCTCATACCCTTCCACACTCAAAGACTCTGCCTGTGATATGAATGAGTGTGACTTTAAAAATATTACATCATAACATATGTCAACATCTCACGGGTCAGCACAGCTCGGTGAGAGCGGTATTTTCCAAAGCGTGAGTACAAACTATGGGTGAGAAGGATGTACTCAAATGGTGATCAATGGGCCTTAGCTATGTATATGCAGAGTATGGACAAGGCCGCAGACTCCATATTCCACCTAAATATTCAGAAATCACTATTTTTCAAGTTCTGGTAAGAAACGAAAGAAGGAAAGAAGGAAAGAAGGACAGAAAAGAGAGAAAGAAAGAAAGAAAGAAAGAAAGAAAGAAAGAAAGAAAGAAAGAAAGAGAGAAAGACCTGAAATCATCTAAAAGGACACATTGAAATAATCCTTTCATCCAAATACATATTTGTACAAGACTAGAGTTTCAAACTCCTTAAAGTGACACAAGGACACAGACTCCAAGCTGAAACAAGAATGAGATTCCTGTTTTCTTTTATGGCCAGCCATTAAAGAGATACACAGAAATAGAAAGCAATACTACTCTTGATATTTTTAGAAGAATCGTAATTTTACAAGATACTTTGTTAATGTATCATGGGTTTTTTTTGTGTGTGTGTGATGTTTTGAATATGCTCAGCCCAGGGAGTAGCACTATTAGAAGGTGTGACCTTGTTGGAGTAGGTGTGTCGCTGTGAGTGTGAACTTTAAGACCCTTATCCTAGCTGCCTGGAAGCCAGTCTTCTCTAATAGCCTTCAGATGAAGATGTAGAACTCTCAGCTCCTCCTGCACCATGCCTGCCTGGATGCTGCCATGCTCCTGCCTTGATGATAATAGACTGAATCTCTGAACCTGTGAGCCAGCCCCAATTAAATGTTGTCCTTATAAGAGTTGCCTTGGTCATGGTGTCTGTTCATAGAAGTAAAACCCTAAGACAGGTTTATAGTTGTGACTTCTAAGGGAATCAATTATGTTCCCTGGTTTTTCATCCACTCTACTCCAACACACCACTCTCTTTGTCCCATGTGTTACACATGGATTTGACCTCCCCTCATGTATATACTCAAGGTGATGCTACTGTCCTTCCTTCTTAGAAATTTTAGTGCAGAAGGGAAGGAGTTAAGAACTGGTAATGGCTCAGGGAAGTTTTGGTCTCTCTTAGATGATGCAATGTCTTCTGAACAGAGCCTCTTGTCTCTCCAGTCACTACCTTCTGTGCAGCTTTCAGAGTATCATTCACGCAACAAGCACTAACATGCCAAGCATCATCTAGGCAATGATCATTCCACAAACACAATAAACTTGGTGCTTACCCCTATGCCACAGTTCGAATGAGAAATGTCCTCCACAGGCTCATGGATTTGAACATTTGGTCTCCAGTGTTATCTGGTCTCCCACTGGTGACTGTCTTAGTTAAGGTTTTACTGCTGTGAACAGATACCATGACCAAGGCAACTCTTATAAGGACAATATTTGATTGGGGCTGTCTTACAGATTCAGAGGTTCAGTCCATTATCATCAAGTCAGGAACATGGCAGCATCCAGGCAGCCATAGTGCAGGAGGAGCTGAGAGTTCTACATCTTCATCTGAAGGCTGCTAGCAGAACACTGGCTTTCAGGCTGCTAGGATGAGGGTCGTAAGGCCCACACCCACAGTGACACACCTACTCCAATAAGTCCACACCTACTCCGACAGGGCCACACTTTCAAATAGTGCCACTCCCTGGGGCTGAGAACATACAAACCATCACAGTGACATTCAGTGCTTGGGGAGGTTTTAGAACTTGTAGGAGGTGGAGTCTTACTGGAGGAAACACATCACTAGGGACAGGCCTTTCCTCTTCTCTTTCTGCTTCCTGCTTCTGCTGCCATGCCGTATATTTCGTGCCTGGTGGACTCGATCCCTGTGGATCTATAAGCTAAATTAAACTCTTTCTTCCTTGTTGCTTTTGGTCATGGTATTTTATCACAGTAACAGAAGAGTAAGCGATACACCCTAGTGCTAAGCCTACTTGCCCCTCTATATTACTAGAGAAATGACTACCGGCTGTCATCAACCAGTGAAAAACTCAAGCCAAATCCCTAGGATTTATGTGTCTCTCCCTTCCCCTTCACACAAGCAACTCTTCAGTCTTAGAGAGTGGACCTCTTCCATATCTCTCAAATTCATCACTTGCCCTCATCCATCGAAGGTCATCCCCTAAGTCCTTCTGAAGGACTGTCCGCCACGGCCTTCACGTTGGCCTTTTTAGCCCTGCATTGCTCTTTTCTTATCTTTGTGATACCTGGGATCAAGCAGACTTCAGGGCCATCAGAAGGGCTCGGGTTGAGTTTTCATCTCCATTTTACACCTATGGAGACTCTGAGCATTTAATAAGTTGTCCAAGTACAGGAGCTGTGTCTTATTGTCCTTATCTTACCTGTGACTCTAAGGACCAGATATAAGCTTGCTAAGGAAGCAGGCAGGGCAGTGAGTCTCTGCCCATAGCTTCAAAGACTTCCTTGCAGCTATTCCCTTTCCCAGGCCCTTGTCCTAGAGCCGGTCCATTGCCTGGCCCCCTCTCCTTGCAAATCCTTTGGTCATGTATATGATTTCAGCTGCCTGATTACTTAGCTTCAAGATCAGTTCTGTCTAACTCCGTGACCCCCAACCTCAGACCAGGCCTAGACCCTTGGCCACACTCTCCAAATATCAACTGCAAGAACTAGAAACTTCCACTAAAGCACAGGCTAGACCTTGCACCTAAACGGGAAGAGGCACTGGAGAAAACTAGATTTAAGAGCAAAGTGACCCTCTCTCCGTGATCCAGCCTCCTCTCTGCCATCTCTTCCTGGACAATGTGCTTGTCCCAGTGAGAATGGCCTGAAGATGTCCAAGGCCGCCGGCATGGCTGCTGGCCTAAAGTAGAAAATAATGAAGACACAAGACACACAGGAGAGAGGCCTCATCCTTTCCTGGGAGGGATTCAGTGGAGGAAGAGAAGAAAGGGAGAAGGAGGTTTCTAAAACCCCACTTGGGAAAGCTACGTATCTCAAGGCTTGGAATCTCACATCAGCCTACCACTGTAGATCAATATACTTGCTCTGTGGGCTGCCCGGCAGGCTGAGGACTTGGCCCTGGATGTCTTTGCCCTGCCTGCTTGGAAATCTGCCTTGCTAGCTGCCGTGACTTCATAGGGATTGGGAGAGCTCCAGATCTGGGGGTGGGGGTAGGGGGAGCTCCTGGTAAGTGAACTATCAGAGGCCAAACAATGGCTTTCTCTGTGCGGCTGCCTATGCACCTGTGCCGGCACAGGGCCCTCTGTGCTTCTGTCTTGTCTGCACACAGTAATGTCCATACATAGGCAGGACTTATAAATACCCTCCAGAGCAGAAGTGAAACCACCCACCAGTTCTCCTTTTCTCCGCTTAGTTGGAGCTCTGCAGCTCAGTGCAGCTGCTACAGAGGCGCGCGCATCCTCCCGCATGGCGGATGGACCTGCTTGTAGTATTCCAGAGTAGGGGAAGCTTCTGGCTAACATCCCCCGTAGAATGAGATGGGACACTGACTGACTGAGGTACTAAACTGACCACTGAGAAACGACAAGCAAAAGAAGAAGAGAGAAAACGAGGGTGCTGGAGGGAGGAGAGGCACCCACTCACATTCACAGAGATGGAACGCTGGTCTTGGGGTGGACATTTACCTGTACGTAGAACGTCCTGGAGGTGGTTATGATTTCAAACAGGTTGTCCCTCATTAAGAGATCACTAGGCAAGGAAAGAGAGATAGCATTATACCATTACACCAGGCATTGTAAGCACTTTTTTTTTTTTTTGGCATATTATTGCCTACATTTTTCACAATCATCCACTAATGCAACTCAAAACTTTTTCTTCTTCCTGTGGATAAGGAAGCCCCAGGCTTAGAGACTGTAAATGCTATGTCTGTCTAAGGTATTGGAGATCAGAACCCATTAAATCTAAAGCCTCCTCTGCCCCCGCCCACTCTGTCCCCAGCGGCGACTTCTCCACCACCACCACCCGCCCCTGACCCCGCCCCCACCCCGCCCCCAGCAACGGCTTCTCCACCTCAGACTCCTCCCCCCAACCCACCCCCATCCCCGCTCCGCCCCCAGCAGCGGCTCCAACCACAGCTCTGAGTTCCTGCTCTCTGCCTCACTGCCCTGACCCAGGGGACAAGGAGCTAAGTAGAGAATCAGAAACTGAGAATAGCGACTTTAAGATTTGCTTCCCAGGAAACTGTTCAACATCCTTACCCACCAGAGAAATGCAAATTCAAATCATTCTGAGATTTCATCTCACGCCAGTCGGAACGACTCACAGCAAAAAGATAATAAATGCTGGCGAAGATGTGCCGAAAGAGGAACCCCTTACTCACTAAGGGGAGGATTGTAAATTAGTGCCGCCACTATGGAAATCAGTCTGAGGGTTCCTCAAGAAACTAAAAATAAAACCACCATATAAGCCGTCTCTACTACTACTGACATATGCCCAAAGGACTCTATATCCTACCAGGAAACAGTATCAACCTTGAGGTCCATCAACAGATAAATGACATGCGATAGAATTTGTTTAGTTGTAAAAAAAAATAAATAAATAAAGGTTGTTGGCTTAGCGTTTAAGAGTCCTTCCTGCTCTCACAGAGGACCTGAGTTCAATTCCCAGCAATCACATAAGGAGGCTCACAACCAGGTTAAACTCCAGGTCCAGGGATTCTGACACCCTAAATCCACAGTGACCTGCACATATGTGGAACACACTCACACAGATAGTCTACATACACAAAGAATTTAAAAAATAGAAAAATAATTTTTTGTTTTGTTTTGTTTTTTGTTTTTCGAGACAGAGTTTCTCTGTGTAGCCCTGGCTGTCCCGGAACTCACTCAGTAGACCAGGCTGGCCTCAAACTCAGAAATCTGCCTGCCTCTGCCTCCCAAGTGCTGGGATTAAAGGCATGCGCGCCACCACCGCCCGGCTAGAAAAATAATTTTTAAAAGAGAAAAAATCATGGAGTTTGCATAAAAATGGATAGAACTAGAAATTATTATATTAAGCAAACGTAACTGAGCCAGAGAAAGGCTAATCCCATGTGTTTTCTCACATGTCTATCCTAGGCTTCAATTTTTTTTTTTTTTTTTTGGTTTTTCGAGACAAGGTTTCTCTGTATAGCCCTGGCTGTCCTGGAACTCACTCTGTAGACCAGGCTGGCCTCGAACTCAGAAATCCGCCTGCCTCTGCCTCCCAAGTGCTGGGATTAAAGGCGTGCGCCACCAACGCCCGGCGGCTTCAATTTTTATACATGAGTAAACATGTATGTGAGGGGGAATAGAAGGCTGTGAAACTAGAAAGAGGACCATGAGGGCTGGCAAGATGGTTCAGTAGACAAAGGGCCTGGCTCACTGCCACCTAGTCTGACATGGCAGAGGGAAAGAACCAACTCCCACAAGTTGTCTTCAGACCTCCACACCCACACATGTGTGCATGCATCCACACGTATAAATGATAAACCAATAAGCAAATAAATGACCAAAGAAAGTGTTAAGAGAGGGAAATATGAAGGGGTCAAGGGTGCAGAGTGGGGATGACTGTGCGCAAAGAGTGGAGGACAAGAGTCAGCAAAAATAAAGTATGTGTGAAACTGGTGTCAAAATCCTATTCCTCTGGATGTTTATGTAAAATAAAGTTAAAATTAGTTTCCTTCATTAGGGAAAAAAAAAAGATATGCTTCTGGGGCAAGGATGTAGCTTAGTGATAGTGTCTAACAGCAAATAAACAAAAATAATCTTAAGAGAGAGAGAGAGAGAGAGAGAGAGAGAGAGAGGAGAAATGTTGTAATCATATTATAGTCTCAAAAAGGAAAGGAAAAGAAAAAACAAAACAAAAACACGCTTCAATCTGGGTGTGGGTTTTAGAAGAGAAATCCTGGCTCCTGCAGGCAGAGGACAAGGAGCAGGTGCTGCTGACACAGTTCCAATCGGGCTGAAGTTGTCTCCTATGTTCAAGGCCAGCTGTGTGCATCCAGTCATTATGGGGACTATAGAAGGAGTAAAGACCCAATTACTACCAAGAGAAGCATCTGAGGAGGCAAGACCAGATGCAGGTAAGACGGCATTCCATGCCAACAGAGAGTCTTGTGCCAAGAAGGGCTGATCCCAGGCAGAAATGTCTTAGAGAATGAAAACACGGTGACATGCCCTCCAGGCAGAGGAGGGACATGACTTAAGGCAAGGTAAGGTACACAGAACTGGCCCAAACACCATGGTGAGAAAAGGGCTTTGGGACAAGGACTATAAATATCAGTCCTTGAGTGTAAAATGAAGAAAAAAAAAATGCTTACTGAGCTAATCCGTAAAGCCATCAAAAGCAGCTCGAACCACACAGATCACTTGAAGTACATTCTACCAACTATTACTTCAACTTGCTCAGCTTCTGAGTAGGGACAGCTCTGTTACCAGCTTGTGCCGAATAGTTTTATGTCAACTTGACACAAGCTGAAGCCACGTGAGAGGAGGGAGCCTCAGTTGAGAAAAACGCCCCCATAAGATCAGGCTGTAGGCGAGCCTGCAAGGCATTTTCTTAATTAGTGATTGATGGAGAAGGGTCAAGCCCATCGTGGGTGGTGCCACTCTTGGGCAGGTGGTCTTAGGTTCTGTAAGAAAGCAGGCTGAGCAAACCACAAAGAATAAGCCAGTAGGCAGCACCCCTCCATGGCCTCTGCGTCAGCTCTTGCCTCTAGATTCCTGGCCTGTCTGTGTTTCTGTCCTGACATCCTTCAATAATAAACAGTGACATGTAAGTGTAAGCCAAATTAAGTCCTTTCCTTCCCAGTTTGCCTTTTTGTCACGATGCCTTGAGGCAGCAATAGGAACCTAACTAACATAGCGCTAAATTTTTTTTTTTTTTGCGGGAATGCAAGTTTTTATTAGAATACTTTAAATTGTGTTTGCAAACATTTAACACAAGGGGGGAGGCAAAATGGCTCTACTTTGTTCCTCCCTATTCCTACAGCAAAAAAACAACCAGAAAGAAAGATGAAGGGAGTCTTAGGCAGGCTGAGGTTTAAGACCCACTGCCTAACTCAGCCCAAGCAGACCCACCCCCGCCTCTAGGTTCCGGATTTGTAGGTATGTACCGGTTATCCTGGCTCACACAAGAGATGCATTTATAACATGATAAATGATTCACAGACATCCCTTGGCTGAATTATGACATAACTGCCATCCAAAGAACTCTGGGTGTTGCACTCAAAAACCTCAGGACACTTCTGGGACAAGGCCTTAGAGACATCTACAGGATGCTTCTGTCTGGCAGCCTCACAGACTTCAATGAGAGACTGCCCATTGACAACCTGGTGGACCTCCCCCGAAGTGTGCTGGGAGAAGGCTTCACCAGCCTTCAACTGAGCCAACTGGGTAGCATCAGCGACCTCCATGGGAGTCTGCTGCGAGGCAGCCTCACAGATCACAGGAGTCGGTGGCAGCCTCGCTGACCTTCACAGGAGATGGCTGGGTGGCAGCCTCATGGACCTGCACCGGAGCCAACTGTGTGGCAGCCTTACGGACCTGCACTGGAGCCAATTGGGTGGCAGCCTCGTTGACCTTCACCGGATCCATCTGGGTGGCAGCCTCACAGATCAGCATAGGAGTCGGCTACATGGTAGACTCATGGACCGTCACAGGAGTCGGCTGGGTGGCCGCCTTACGGGCCTCCATAAGACGATGCTCAACTCCAGCCTCCAGAGTCTCCTTTTGCATCAGTTTCATGTGGCAATGGTGAGCCACATCAGAGAGCATCTGAGCAACGTCCTTTTGAAAAGAAGGCTGTCCGAAGATCCAAATCTCAGCTCGTTTTTCAGGACCCCACACGTTCACATGAATCACTGTCTGCAACGTACTTTCAACATGCGGGATGTGCTCTCCGTCCTTGTCCTTACCAAACATGAGTTCCACTAGCGACGGTTCCACGTACACTCTCTTTGGATCTTCCAGATACTCGACGTGGAACCACTTGAGCAGCTTGGCCTCTTGGACAATTTCAAATACAGTACCTCCTTTGTGATTCAGCGGAACCAGCGTCTGAAACTTCTTGAGAGTGGCCATACTGTACCCAGCAGTCTCACCACAGAAAGCCTACCCAACTCCAAAACTGGCGAACTCCAGCACTAAACGTTTTAACCTTCTAGATTATTCATGCAAATACAGGAAGTCCCAGAGTCCACTGACTCTGAAACCAGCCGAGGAGGGAGCCCTTATCCCCTTCCCAGCCACTGCCCAGCTGCGTGGTATTTTCAATATCATCTAGTTCAACAGCTATCATTGCCTACAGCTGTCCTGAATTCCCCCAAAAGTTCCAGAGAGGCTACACCACCTAACACAGCTGAGGCCTCAAAGCCGCAACCTTCCTCACGGACTTCACCTCCCCAACTCAAGTCCAGTATGACTCAGGTAGAGTTAGAGGTAGGAGGAGTTTTCAAGACCCTCAGGCTGAATGGTACCGTACCTCCCCAAGCTGCCCTCCTATGTCCAGGTAGCCTCATATGTACACGGGCCCTCCGGAGTCGGGGCAATTGGACATCTCTCATGATCCAGTCATGCTGGGTTCTGCCCCCTAGAGCCAACACTCGGGACAATGTCTATCTATGACTACTTTCACAAAATACAGATTATCCCTTGTGACCTCCCCAGTCTTCTGCTCTCCCCTCCACCACCACCCCCCAACTGCTATTTGAAACTCTTAGTATAGCATTTCTGCCTTACTTCACTGGGTCACTGGGTCACTGGGTCACTGGGTCACACAGCATGTGTGTTTATGTAGGGCTGTGTTATGCTCTCACAGGAGAGCAGGATGTCTACTGTTGCTAGATCCCCTTATGACCTACAGAACTAGGAGAGATACAAATACACAGGCTAGACAGACTATAAACTCATACCCAAAAAGATACGCTTGCGGTCTGTTAAGATTCACTTCCACACGTGTCTGGATTTAGGAATGGGGATGGGACATTCTCCTGTCAAGTCCTGGATCATCTTATGCAGTGCTCTCAGAAGGTGTCTTTCCAAGTGGAAAGAGGAACAAATTAAAAATACTTGCTCTGCCTGTCAAGTGGTAGGAACGGGGATGCTGTGAGTCACCCCTATGTTAATGGGGACATCAAGAACAAAGGAGGAAAGGCCTGAGAAATTCACACAAGGGCAAGGGTGAAGCCAGGGGAAGGCCAGAATCTCTCTCTGAGCCCCCCCCCCATCCCTGACATCCAGGACCTGACACCTGACTCTACCCCTTGAGAGACACCTAAGTGTCACTCTCTGCTATCACCAGAAGTTAGCACATAGGCATCCCAGGAGCAAGAATAGGGAAATGGGAAGAGGGAACTTTGTCCAGTGAGATCTTAACCCTGCATCAGTTATGAGGCACTAAGTTCTGCACCTTCCTAATGCTGTGTGACCCTTTAATACATGGTGAGGTGACTGCAACCATAAAATGATTTTCACTGCTACTTTGTAATTTTGCTACTGTTATGAGTCATAATACAAATAATCTGTGTTTTCAGATGGTCTTAGGCAACCTCTGTGAAATGGTCATTTGATACCCCCAAAGGGACTGAGACCCTCTGGTTGAGAACCCTTGCCCTATAGGGAAGGTGCTTCAACAGAGCCTTAAAATGGGTAACAAATGAGATTCCAAGACGAAGATCAGAGGCTCTCCTCAAAATGGATAAGAAGAGGCAATTACCCAGACTTGACCAGACACTCGTGAGTCTTGAGAACATCCTTGAGTGGTATGGTGCGCAGAGGCTCTCTGTCCTGATGGGAAAGATGGAAGATGGACAGATGAGACTATGTACATGGCCCAGTGACCCACACCAGCTCACCAACACCCCTCGCTCAGAGTGTTGGCTAAAACCAAGCTGGTTTCAAAATAATTGTTACAGAGAAGCAATCTATGCAGCAGCTGCTCTGTGGCTCCGCCCCCACAGCAGGTCACGGCACAGACGCTGGCAGCAGTCCAGGCCCTTTTATAATAGCATCATAAAGAGACACAGGTTGGACAGAGATAAGACAAGAAGTGGCTTGGAAGTCTGCGTGGATCTGGTTTCCACTAAGACATGCTCTCTGACTCTCAGACCTCTCAGGAGGGACCCGAACCTACCACCTACCTGCTCGCACTTGAAGTAGCAGATGGTAAAGTCATCAAGGGCAAAGAAGCGTCGTTTCCAACTCTTCCGCTGAAATGAAAAATAAAGAACCAGACCATCAAGAACAGGTCTCCAGAGCCAAGACTGGTGTTGTCACAGAAAATACCCAGGAACCCAGCACCATGGAAACTAGGTTCCCATCTTCAGCAGGGACAAAGAACAGGAACAAGGGGAAGTGTGAAGCCAGTAAAAGTCCCAGGCCTCCATCTGAGCCTCCATCTTCCCAGTGACCAAGCACCTAACACCTGAAGAGCACCTGAGGGTCCTTCTCTGATGCCGCCAGAAGCTACTACTGTTCCGGCTAGCTTTATTTCAGCTTAACACAAGCCATCTGCAAGGAGGGAACCTCAGTTGAGAAAACGCCTTCATAAGATGGGGCTACAGGCAATTCTATAAGACATTTTCTTAATTAGTAATTTACGGAGGAGAGCCCAGGCCATTGTGGGTGGTGCTATCCCTGGGCTGGTGGTCCTGGATTCTAAAAGAAAGCAGGCTGAGCAAGCCATGAGGAGCAAGTCAGTAAGCAGCACCCCTCTACAGGCCTCTGCATCTGCTCCCACTCCAGGTTCCTGCCCTGCTTGAGTTCCTGTCCTGACTTCCTTCAGTGATGGACTCTGCTGTGGAAGTGTGAGCCAAATAAACCCTTTCCTCCCCAAGTTGCGTTTGATCATGGTGTTTCATTGTTGCAATAGAAACCCTGACTAAGGCAACTATGTCATCGGCTTATCATCAAGAGTCAGAAAATAGGAAGAGGGAAATCTGACCATCAGTGTGCATACTGCATCAGTTTGAATGCAATGAGACTTCTTACCACCACAGGAAAGCTTTCTGGGGAACTAATGGCTAGTTAACATATTACATATACAGTCAGCATATAACCCAGTGGCAGTTAACATAGAGGGGTACAGTTCTTCCTCTCATTCTCCTCTGCTACATCCATGCCCACTGGATCCAAGGAGTATTAGAACCCCAGTATACCCCTGTGCTGGCACTCACCACGTTCCCTTGCTTCACACAGTAGCCACTCTTAATGAGGGGAGGCCCGGTGGAAGGACGGCAGCCTGATGTGGGGATGTAGCTCTGAGACCTTCGCAGGAAGGCGTGAGTCCCTGGCTCGCTCCCTTCCTGCCCATCCCCACCGTTCTACAAGGAAACAGCGGCACTGTTAATACCCCAGCCATGCCTCTGTGCAGTCCGGCTCCTCCCAGCCTTCCTGCCACACCTCTGGCCCATTTGGTGTAATGTCAGTCAGAGAAACTAAGAACTGACTTTGTCCCCAGTTAGACGATGCTCTACTGAGTGTTTTCCCAAAGCAAGACATTGGCTAGAGAGACCCAGAAAAAGGAGAGACGACAGAGAACCGAAGAAGACACAAGCACTCAAATGGAACTGCAGACTTGTGACTAGTCCCACTGTCTCCCTCAGCCCCACTTCCTTTATGTTTTACAAGTGCTCATTGCCTAGGTCTTAAGCAAAAGCACAGAAGCCACACATATCCTCAAGACGTCATGATGTCATGGCCCCAACTTCTACATTGGCACTGACCACATCCACCCAGCACTGTATCATCCTGGCCACCTTCTTCACTAGCTCCCCTGTATCCTAAGGCTTTGTGCTGGTCCTTGGACACAATGGACGTCTTCACTGCCCCCACCCGACAACCCCAAGCAACAGTACCTGGCTGATGGGTGTTTGTACCACCACTCCCCCGATGATCTCAGTCTTGTAAGCCACCTGCGGCTTCTTCTCTAGGGTGGGAGGAGCCGTTAGGCTTTTGAGAACTTCTGTGGCCAAGGGTACTGTCCCAGCCTTGGGTACCTAGGAAACACGGTGATATGGTCAGCAAGAAATAGAAAGCTTAGGAACAGCGCAGAACCACAAACAGGATGTGGGGAGAAATGGAGAGCTAATTTACTAAACTACAGTGAGAACGATCTCCTCTTCTTCAGCTCTTTCATGGATCTCCAAAGCCAAATATGAGGAACTCAGCCAGTAATCCTTTACCTACGCGCACGCTTTTATGTTTTTATGTGCGCATGCATACACATACACACACAGACATGCACATACACACAGATACGTCTTTTAAATTATACATATAACGATCAAGCACATATACATATATGTCCACATAGATATACACATATACATGACACCGTGTACACATACATATATATACACAGATACACATATATAGATACATATACT